GGGGGGGGGGGGGGGGGGGGGGGGGTACAGCAGGGTGAGAGGCAATGAAGTGTGGTTTAACTGAAAGGTGCAGGTGTTGACTGTTGTTGTGCCGTTGCAGGCGCCAAGGTGGTGTCCCCGTACAGCGGCTACATGGGTCAGCTGAGGAGCTGCGTGTACCAGCCCACCGAGCTGGCGCTCATCACCAAATCCCGCGTGGCGTCTGTGAGTATGCCGCATGACGCTGACGGGATGCTAGCCAGTTTCCGATGCTCGCATGTGCCGCGCCATCTCGAACCTGTTTGGATGTTCTCCCCCCCCAACCCCATTCGCAGAATCCTCCGGAAGCGCCCTATGATTCCGCCATTCCCAGAGCGTCGGCCCACTCTACAGCCGGCAGCGGAGACCTGCACGTCACAAACCTCACGGATGCGACGGATACACTCAACAGGGCTTACGAAAACGGAAACAGCGTAAGCCCACCCGGACTTCCTCTCGAATGATATCAGTGTAATTGTGTATTTCTGTGTGTACTCGTGTGTACAGATCAGTTTGTGTGTTTCCTGTCTGATCATCTTCCTTCTTTTATTTTCCTCCTTCTCGCTCTTGTGTCCCAACAGGCACAACACAGGACGCCTGAGTGGTGACGGCGACGGTCGTCCTCTGAGTTGAATACGCTGATGATGCCAGACTACAAAAACAAGACGTGAAAGAACATGACAGTAGGCAACATTAGACAAAAAGTACACAACTCTGCACCACACAAAAGTACACTACCACGCTGCTTTAGATTGTACTACTGTCCACAACACTGAACTCTGCTCCGCAACACAACATGGCACTGAATTAGGCTCAGGCCACGCTATAAATCTCAACACGACGCTAAAGCACATGACACACTAGACTAGCCAAAGGTTCTTTTTCCATGTCATGTGACCGAAGAGATGTAAATATGTTTGAATGCTTCCACATGGAAACACGCTGTGAATGTGTACGTGTAATTATATTGAATTGAACTTGGACCACGTCGTCTCTTTCATCGTCCGTATTTCTTGGCTTCATTTATTTCCTTGCAAAATAAAAAGCGCCTTTGCTCATTTTCTGTCGTGCGCAAAGCCCGATGGGAGCCGGAGTCCGCCCGCCCGCCGTCGGCCTTCGAAGGGGAGGACGTACATCCCGCCTGTGGAAACGGGTCGAGGTCGTCGGAGGACGTTTGATTGCGTGCGTGCCATCGTCGGCAAACTCGCTCGCTTTTCCGTGTTTGTGTGGGAGCGTGTGTGTGCGTGTGTGTTGTATGCGTTTAGTGACCCAAAGTATAACTTGAAAGCTTTGGTTTTGCAAAGACACAAGTACTTCAAAGGTAGTTCATGCATTCTCCTCTCATAGCAAAAAAAAAAAACACCCATTCTTGCCTCCTGTTTGAAGAGGACTAGTCAGCGATTCTTTGAGGTCTTTGCCCAGCTCGCAAGAGGCTGGCACAACAACGTCAAGCACAATGTTGTCTTTGTACACTCGGGACAAAGACGGCGCTGTGAGAAAAACCTTGACCGAGGACACCTGAGCGCCACATCTGCACACGCACGGCAGCCAAGCACACGAACACAAAAGTACACACTGCACGACCCGGTGGGTGTGTGGCATACTTCATTGTCTACTTGGTGTGACTTCAAGCCGCCTGCCAAATGAGTTAAAAAAAGGAACCAGGTCAGCCTGCGTGAAAAAACTTGCAGCATGAGAGCGTCTGAATAGTGTGTGAGTGTTTCAGTAGTGTGTGAGTGTTTCGGTGGTGATTGTGAGAAGGTTGCTGCTCTTCTCTCTCACTCTCTGTCCTTCACTGGTTCTCTTGTCGCTGTCTCACTTTTCCTGTCGTCAGGCGGCATTTCCATGGACGCAGCTTGCAAACAAAGAGCCCCCCTTAGGGACCACCGGAAGGCAAACATACTACAGCGCGGGCTCACGGGGGTGTGTGTGGCTGGGCTGGTGCGTCAGGGCGCGGTAGGTGTTGCCAACTGAAGGGCAAATAACACCTGACGCCGCGGCTTTACTTTCACTCGCAAAGATTCCTGTACATAAGCACACTGTGAAACTGGAGCTTGAAAAAATACAAATATGCTACAATATACGAATAAATAAAGGTTTTCTTATGATTATTCTTTGAAACGACAACATTATTTCAGTGCATTTTACACTTCCAGTGAAAATGGGGGTGTTTTTTTCGGATGTAAAAGATGTGCGTTTTGTCAATTATAAACTGGAAAACAATGATACGCGGTAAAGTACTGCCATCTGCTGGACACGTTTTTTCAACTCACGCTTGTCCTTAGCACCGCCCATACGGTTGTCTATTGATTCACACGGGAAATATTCGTTTCTGATTGGTTCAAATTTCCCCCTTTGCGGCCAATCAACGCTTTTGTTTACAAGGGTTTACTTCCGGGACAATGAAAGGACGTTCACTCATACGATTATGAAACTTACGCTAGTTTGTCTTTTTATCCCCTTGAAGACAGAAGTTTGAAGAGCATTGACAACAATTCCGCGTCCCAAACGGACTTTAGTTGGATCTCCCGATGGTTTATTTGGTTGTGAACGTGGCGAGGTCGTCCGCGTCTTTACGAAAGGTCGGTAGCCACCGTGAGATTGGTTGATCTGAGCAAAATCGTTTTACGAGCAAAATACGTTTTGTTGCGATGCACGCCCATGAATACTTGTAAGAATCAGCATCTGATCTTATTGTATTGGTTGTTGTTTTATTGAGTACTATTCGGAGTGGGCAAGTACTCCTCAAGGCGGGCGATACCAACCACTGATACTTCAGACAAAAAAGTCTGATATTGAATAAGTCTTTCTCCGCCACAATGTGTCAGTTTGAGTTTTGACGCATCATCACATGTGCCAAAAAAAGAAGTCAGTCTTTCATCACCATTATCTGTCACTGTGTTCATAGAAAATTTGTATTTCCAAAGTACGAATGGCATCGATGCGCCATGTCAGTCAGAAAGAAGTGTTAGCGTACCTCCCTATTGGATATTCATTGTTTTTGTTTGTGTGTAGTAATGCTGGTTTGCATGACTGCGGTGCGCCACCAATCGATGTCTTTATCAGATTAAGTTCTCTCACGTTCTTGTTTTCCAGCTGTGTGCGGCATCATGGACGGGCGTTCTGCTCAACCAGAATGTCCGCAACCAGTGCGTCAAGCCGGGTCCACCCCCTGCCCCGGCGGCCCCTTCAGAGAGTGGCAGCGGAACCGCCGCGCCCCCTGCACCCCCTACGCACTGCTGTATGAGCGGCTGTCACAACTGCGTATGGATCGAGCACGCTGAGCAGCTCCTGGCCTTCTACAACGACGGCGGTGAGCGGGCACTGGCCGCCATCGAGGAGAACGTGCTGGACGACAACCTGAAGACCTTCTTGAAGATGGAGATCCGACTCCTCAAAAAGACGTGACGGTGCCCCTGGTGAGTTTGGAGTCGGACAATGAAACCGCAGTCGTCCCCACGCCTTGGAAATGTAGACTAGGGCTGACAATAAGTCGACTAGTCACCATTACGTCAAGGGTGGTCTAAATAAGGATTCACTTGAAATGTTTACCGACTCCTCTGACAACATGTGCCCCACTTGCATGTGCGCAGAACTTTCCAGAATGGAGTTGCCTCAAGCAGAAGGGTTTGGATCCTCTCTAGGCCGGCAACGGGAATGTTGGCTGAACGCAACGAGGAGACCGCCGAATACGATTTGAGATGAGATGAACAACCGTTCATCATCAAGTCTGTTTGCACTTTGAAATACGTATTTATTCTTGTTGTGAATACAACATGCACATATTTATTAATAATTAAACAGTGCCAGATTCATCTTGTGGTGGTGGTGGTTGTGTTGTTGACAGTTCGTCGCCATGACAACGTGAAACCGTGGCGGGATTACGCTACCTCCGAATATGACGTGATGGAAAATGACAGATTAGTGACATCATCATCATTAGGGACACAGGCAGGGTTACGGCAGGTCACTCTGAGCCAGTTAGGGTCCTTTATGTGGTTGCCCCCCCCCGTTATCTATCCCTCCATCCACCTCTCCATCTACGACATGACACGAGGCGTGTCTGCAGTAATCCCGGCCGTACATGTATAAAAGTGACGTGTCGCTGCCACTCGCTCATCTGCCGTCTTGTCGTCCGACTGTTGGTCACCCAAGCAAAGCAGCACGTGAGTAGAACGCGTCCAATTTAATGTCATGGAGGTCCCGCCAACCTCCCGTTGGCTCTTGGGGGGGTCTTGCACACGAGATGTGGAGATAGATAGACAGACAGACACTTTTTTAAGGTTTACTCAGATTTTTTTAAATTCTGTAAATATACTTGTACATTTAGACAATGTTGCACATTTGATTTTGAAGAATTTTTGAAAGTTGGATGAATACTTGATTTCCAGTTTTAACTTTGTAAATTTGAATTAACAAAAGGCTCCCGTATTTCCATTTTTTAAATGCATTTTTTGTAAAAAAAAATCGTCTCAAGGCTGTTATTTAAAATGCTCAGTGAACAACACGTTTGTGTTGTTGTGCGGTTGTCATTGAGAGATGCGACGCTTAAGAACGCGAGTGTGTGCTCAGCACTTGTGCGGCTAACCAGATTGAAGGCAGATTATTAAAGTGAGCCCAGGATTAGGATTAACTAGTATTGTATCGGGGTCACGATGATGGAACATCGTGTCGATTGTCACTCGCGAGCCCTCCACGTATATACCGGTGTGTGTTTGTGTGTATGTTTTCCACAGAAAAGCATCAGCGCGCGCGCACACTGACCAGGGCGGCACAAATGAATTTGGAGGCACCCAAAACTGAGATCAAGTCGGCCACGCGGGTGAGCGGGGGCCCCGCCACCCCGCGCAAGGGCCCCCCCAAGTTCAAGCAGAGGCAGACTCGGCAGTTCAAAAGCAAGCCCCCCAAGAAGGGTGTGCAAGGGTGCGTCATTTACGCATAAGTAACACTTCCCAAAGAACAGTCACAGAAAAAAAGGGGAATAGTTTGGATCGAGCCGCCATTCCATTGATGAATGATCAATAATAATTATTGACTGTCATCGTCATCTTTTTTTGCCCCTTGCGTGCAGGTTCGGTGATGATATCCCGGGAATGGAGGGCTTAGGAACCGGTGAGTCTTTCAACACACACGGATGCTAAACTCAAAATGTTGAGACTCCTTCTTGGGGTCGTCTGCGCAATTATCTTACAAGTGATGACAAAGCACATTTCTGAACATGTCGTCTGTGTGTATATATTGATGTGTGCTTGTGGATGTGTGTGTTTTAGACATTACAGTCATTTGCCCGTGGGAGGCCTTCAATCATCTGGAGCTGCACGAGCTGGCCCAGTACGGAATCATCTGAGCTCGTCCGGAAACACACACACACACAAAAAAATAAATAAATTCATTAAAAAATGGAAAAGGAGATTTTTTTTTTAAATTAATATTGTGGTCATGACTCAGCAGCTGCTCGTGTTTAGGATGCGATCTTCTGTAAGGTTCTTGTTTGCCGGGCGGCCTGGTGTTGAAGCTGCAACGTGGTGGTTGCTAGTCTGTTCATCCATCTTTGCTCACGGTTGACTCTGAACTCATTGATTTGTCGTTAGAAAAGCAGCCACACCACGTGTCTCCTTGCATCTTCTCTTTTTTTCGCTTAAGTGATCCTTGTCTAGACTTTTGTACGGTCGTCGTTATCATCATTTACGCATGCAGGGTAACACTTACTCTTTGCAGTTGTTTATTTGTGTTTGCTTGCACTTTGCTTGGTTTTCTTCTGCAGCCAGGTCGGCATGGTCAAAGAGAATCGGAGAAATAAAGGTTTGAAAAAAATGCTGGTGATGGAGATCTTTTGTTTGCTTGTCTTCTTTACAGTATGAACAAAATATGAATAACAAAGTTAAATTGCAATAACCATATATTAATGTCAATGAGGAGGATTGTCAAAGAATACAGTAATATTATTAGTAACATTTTTGTATAATCTTTTTTTTTATCTCATTGTAATAAGTGGTCAAATGAGTAAAGTAAATGCATTTGTCAAAAATGTTTTACAAATCAATAGGTGGTTATTGAAAAAAATATTTATTGTTTTAATAAATTGAATAGTTCGTTACAATTCAGTTGATTTAAATTGGTAAAATTGATACATGATAAACAATTTCATACAATTATCTTATTGTAGTAATTTTTTCCAGATACAGTTTTTAAAAAATTAATTACTATTTTTGTTTTCGGGACAGAGATGAGCGGAACTTTTTCATGAACATGTTTCCAGGGGGGGTTGTCTGGAAAAGGGACTCGTTGCTTCCGCATCGGACACAATTGTTGGTTGCACCTACTATGGGATGGAGTTTCGTTGACAAACGCCGTGAAAGCGCATTCGTTTGTCAACTTGTAGCAGCGGACGACAACATTCAGTACCCGGCGAGGGGAGCAGCATGGCCGAAACTATCGTAAGTAGAAACGAACAAACTAGTGAGCGAACCAAAAGTTACGTTTGTCGCCTCTTGGGCTCAGCTGAGGCGAAGCCGAGCTAGCCCGGTTAGCGTTAGCAGTTAGCAGCAACTGGTTGTTGTGATGAGGCAGCACAATTAGCTTGTTAGCCGGCTAACGTGACGGTCCGTTCAAAGTGGACGGGCCTAGCCGGCTAACCGGCTAAAGGCAGCTCCATGAATGACAATGTTGGTTTTGTCTCATCACCACAAACATTACTTTGGAGTTTGGAAAAAAAAAGAAAGAAAACATCTTCAACATCTGATAATTGTTTGTTGAAAGGCTGGCAATGTTCGAAAGTTGCTTTTTTGTTGGATTTGGTTGCATGAACCTCAATGAACTCCTCGTCAAAGTAGTGACCAAATCTTTTTGTTTTGCACTGTCATCACTGCTCCACTGTAGTGTTGGGCTGCTTGTCAAGACTTGCTTTTATTGTAAATTCCGTGTATTTATTTTCTTAATCTATTCCTTATGGTTTTAAATTAAATTGTGTTATTTCGAAGCGAGGTGCAGTTTTGGCCATGAAAAGATGTTTTATAACAAGTTCTCATTTGTTGTTTTTTTTTTTTGGGGGGGGGGTGCGGTTATAGATCATCCGTGTTCAATCCCCAGATGGGATGAAGAAAATTCCTTCGACTAAGCGGGAGACTGCTGCTGCCTTTTTAAAGAAGGTACCATTCATTTGTACAGTTGATTGCAATGTTTGCTTTTCAAAGGAACCCCATCTTTGCCTGGCATTTTGTGCCAGCCTTAAAAAGATAGCGGCAGATACTCAAAATGACCGAGTTGACTTGTGTTTGATTCTGTTTCGGTTGGCGGCGGTGTTTGCAGGTGGCCAAAGAGTTTGGCTTCAACTCCAACCGCTTCTCCGTTTACCTGAACCGCAATAAAACCGGCGAAATCCTCTCGCAGAACAAAACCCTCAGCCTGCTGAAGATTAAGTGAGCAGCGGCGGACGTAAAAGTCGAAAGGACGTGAAATGATGTCACTAAGTCGGCTTTTTGTGCGGTCTGGGCAGGCACGGCGACATGCTCTTCTTGTTCCCCTCGGGCTCGCCGGCCTCCTCCTCCTCATCGTCCGCCGAGGTGATGGACACGGCCGCCCCGCACTCGTCCTCATCATTGCCGTCTGCTTCCTCGTCCTTCCTGATGCCCCGCCCCCAGTCGGCACCGCAGATCCAGGAGGACGACATCGACCAGTTTCTGACCAAACAGGACGGCAAGATCTACAGGAACCGAGACGCGCAGCTGTGAGGCGACGCACACGTAGAGATGCACGCAGCGTGCGCTAGCTTAATGCTACCACACAGTGTGAAAGGCCGTCGAGGAGCTACCTGGTATTAGCATCTATGTTTCGGCAATTTTAGCAGCAACACATACAAGCAGAGGTACGACTATGCTCACGGGCATATGTTCTCTCTCCGACAAATGATGCTAAAGAAATGAAAGCCCTCGACGCACTTCAACTGAGTTGTTTTACGCCAAGATGGTGTCAGAGCGGGACTTTTTGTCTGCTCAACTCACTGAAGTTGTCCTCTCTGGCCGCAGATGTCGCCACGGCGCCCTGGGCAAGTGTGTGCACTGTGTGCCGTTGGAGGTCAGAACAAGACTCTCCTCCTCCGTCTCCTCTTTCCTCCTCCACCTTGTTCATAATCGTCTTCTGTTTTTCCTCGTTGGTCTTTTCTCCTTCCGCATTTTGTCTCTCCTCTGGCAGCCTTTTGACGAAGACTACCTGAACCACCTGGACCCGCCCGTCAAGCACATGTCGTTCCACGCGTACCTGCGAAAGCTGACCGGAGGAGCCGACAAGTGAGCGCTTCTCTGCCTTTCGCTCCGTTCGTTGCACTTTCTTTGTCCTTTTAAAAAATAAAATAAAATCTGATCGACTATGTAAAGGGGGAAGTTTGCCGCCCTGGAGAATATCAGCTGTAAGATCAAGTCGGGGTGCGAGGGTCACCCTCCCTGGCCGGAGGGCATCTGCACCAAGTGCCAGCCCAGCGCCATCACGCTCAACAGACAGGTGGGCACAACGACCTTTTGGGCCTTTGAACCCTTCGTTGTTCCCGTCAAAGTCGACAAAAGAAAGCCGCCGTTGCAGACTTGCGCTTTTGAGTCAACGGCGTTTCTCTTTGCTCTGCAGAAATACCGACACGTGGACAACATCATGTTTGAGAACCACACCATCGCCGACCGCTTCCTGGACTTCTGGCGCAAGACGGGCAGCCAGAGGGTGGGCTACCTGTTCGGCAGGTACACGGAGCACAAAGACATCCCGCTGGGCATCCGAGCCGAGGTGGCCGCCATCTACGAGCCTCCGCAGGTTGTCCAAAAACAAGCCCCAAGTGTGCTTGCTTCAAGTCGTTTGTGCGCTCAAGTTGACATTTGCTGCGAGTGTCACCCAAAGCTCACGTGCGCTTGTGCTGCGGTTGATTCAGAACGCGACTCAGAACAGTCTGGAGCTGCTGGAGGACCCCAAAGCCGCAGCCGTGGACGAGATTGCCGCCAAGCTTGGCCTTCGGAAGGTGGGTTGCCTCTTTTCGGCGCGACGAGAGAGGCCTCTTGACGCGTGCCTCACTTGCTGTACGTTTTGGCCATTTCACACTGAAATTGTCTTGGCAGGTGGGCTGGATTTTCTCCGACCTGATCTCCGAGGACACCAGGATCGGGACTGTCCGCTTCACCAGAAACCAGGTCGGGTCGATTTAGTATCGTTTTTCAACGCTTGTAAAAAGTCACACTTGGAGAATCGCTAAAACCTTTGCCCTCCCATTCTTGGCGTGAGCAACCAGTAAGCCTGAAAACTTTTCTCGTCTCTTTTGGGAATCGTCCACATTCTCGGGTCCTCGAATGCCCCCCCGGCCCCTCCCGTCTGATTTTGGTTCTTGCCAACAGGACTCGCACTTCCTGAGTGCGGAGGAGTGCATCACGGCGGGCTACTTCCAAAACCAACATTCCAACCCTTGCAAACTCTCCCGAGACGGACACTTCGGCTCCAAGTTTGTGACGGTGGTGGCCACAGGTCAGGCCGCGCTTTTGCGTCGCCGTGTGCACATTTGCCGATTGGCGCCGACCGCTGAGGATGTTGCGACTGGTTCTCAGGCGGTCCGGACAACCAGGTGCACTTCGAGGGCTACCAGGTGTCCAATCAATGCATGGCCCTGGTGAGGGACGAGTGCTTGCTGCCCTGCAAGGACGCCCCCGAGCTGGGCTACGCCAAAGAGTCCAGTCCCGAGCAGTACGTCCCGGACGTCTTCTTCAAGGTAACGCTCGGACAGCGCCCATGTCGCGCTCCTTGTCGCCTTTTTGCCCCCTTTTGTTTTGCTTTTGGGAAGCGTCCGTCAAGGTGGCGTTTCTGTCAACAGGACAAAGACAAGTTTGGGAACGACGTCACCTTCTTGGCACGCCCTCTTCCCGTGGAGTATCTTATCATTGACGTGAGTTCCTTCTTGCCTCCTTTGCGTCGTCGTCTTCCCCGCGCTCGTTTGTGGCCCGCATGTGGCGGTTCTCCGCTTTCCTTCTCAGATCACCACCACGTTCCCCAAGGACCCCCAGTTCACCTTCAGCTCCACTCAGCGCTTCCCCATCGAGAACCGAGAAATCCTCGGAGAGACGCAAGTAAGGGGCGAGCCCCCCGTCTCTTGCTCGGAGGATCCCCCCCGAGAAATCGTCTCCAATTAGCTGCGCCTTTTCTCCTCAGGACTTCCACAGCCTGGCCACGTATTTGTCGCAGTGCTCCTCCGCGTCCTTCCTGGACATCGTGTCCGACTTCCATCTGCTCCTCTTCCTGGTCACCAACGAGGTCATGCCTCTGAGGGTGAGTTGGCCATCACCATCTGCCCGCGAGCGCCGTCCATGACCGCCGCCGTCGCCTGATTTCGTACGCCGTTTTGCAGGACAGCATCGGCCTGCTGCTGGATGCCGTCAAGACATCCGACGGGGACCTCGCCGAGACCTGGAAGAAGTCGGAGCAGTGGGCCACCATCGAGCAGCTGTGCGGTAAGTACGTGCCGCGAGCTGCAAATGATCTCTCAATATATGACTGGATTTGATTAGCAGACGACATATATGACCAAATGATTCATTATCTGTCGATTTCATTTTTTTCAATTAATTCATGAGTCGGATTTACTTTTCAAAGTCTTTTAATTTCCCTCCCATCATTCCAAAACATAATTTGATGTTTCTGTCGCTGGTGTGGTCTATAACATCCATCCGCAAAGTCAGCAAAAATGTTGATTTATTTTCCCAAGTAAACTTCTTCGTTGCATTCAACACAAAAATAACCCGTCTGCTTGCGACCACAAATCAGAGACGGTAACCAACAACAATCTTGCTCTCTTCTTAAACGAAGACAAAAACAAAAAACATGTTTCAATAGCCAAATGAATGCGTGTGGAGAAGTGACGTTTGTCTCCTCTCCCGCCCGCAGGCACAGTAGGGGGGCAGCCGTCGGCTTCGGTGGGTTTCGACAGCATGGGCGACCCGTCGGCACCTCCGTCCTCCTCCGCCATGTGGTCTTGCGTGCACTGCACGTTCATGAACCAGCCCGGGACCGAGCACTGTGAAATGTGCAGGCTGCCCCGCACTTAAAACGCCCCCCCGCCCTCGCAGCCCCCCGCTTTTGCTTTCCAACGAAAAATCTCGGGCCCTTCTGCTATTGAGCGCTTCCCGCTCGGATGGTTTGGACTGCAACGGGCCAAATGCGAACTGGCGCTCATCAGATTGGATGGCGCTCGCCTGTCAGTCTTCATCTTCGCTCAACTGGTGCTCGCCCAAGTTTTTTTGTTTGTTGTTTTGGTTGGTTTTGTTTGACCCGATAACGGAATCTGACAGACCGCAAGAACCAAACGTGGTGCCTTGAGATACATTTTGAATTTGTTCTGTGATTTCTAATCATCTTTTGTCCATAAGAATGGTTGTCAAGGCCACTCCAGCCACCACCCCCCCCCCCCAAAAAAAAAACAAAAAACGTTTTTTATGAGAAATCCACCGATGCGGATTTTTCATAAACGAAATCATAAATAGAAGTTGATGTTTATTATTTCAAGGCCCCTCCAGCCCCCCCCCCCCCCCCCCCAAAAAAAAAACAAAACACGTTTTTCATGAGAAGTCGACCGATGCGGATTTTGTCAGGCTGCTACCAATCCAGATATCTGGCACGATAAAATTCCGATGGCCACTTGATCGGCTTTGAAAAATAGGTAATGAATAAAATAAAGATGTGAATTACCGGCAGAAAGAGCATTTACAAGAACAGAACTTTGTTCTTTGTTTATCTTGACTTTTGAAAGAAACCCCCCCCCCCAAAAAAAAAATCACTCTAAAAAACATGCAATTTGAGGCACTCGTATCTCAAGGCACCGCTCCGTTTTATTGGCTTTGCCACATGTTTTGCGAAACTTGTGCGCAAACTCACAAAGTACAACTTGGAAAGTTGCAAGGAGGCCTGACAAAAATCCCGTGCTCGCAACTTCGCAAGAAGGTCCCACAAACGCTCGCGTTTGAACATGCGACTCGGGAAGTCGGCCGTGCGCCTCACGAAGCAAGCTGAGTCTCGCTATTTCGTACGATACATGAAGTACGGACGCGAGTTACTGCGATGCACGTGGAAAAATACGTAAAGCGCACATGCGGCGGCTTCAATTTTCAAAATTTCCGTTGTTGATACAACAGCACGAAGGGGGCGGCTGAGACTTAAACGGCGTGAAGCGCACCAAATTGGAAAAGAAACCAAGCCGGATGAAGAGAGAGAAACTTGCTCCGTGTTCTCTCGTGACTCAGATGCTTGTGAGAGGATTTGCGACATTTCCAAAACCAGGAAGGACGCATGGACACACTTGGACAGAAGGTTCCAGAGTTCCTGATGGGCACTTGCGTCCTTGCTGGCTATTTATGCCTCTTTAGGAGTTTGACTGCAATTCTGTTGATGATGTGAGAATTTTTTTTTTTTTTTAAGTCGAGACTTTTTTGTTGTTGTTTTGGGTTGGGGTTGAGTGGAGGCGTGTGAATTCTTGAGTGGTTATTTGAAGTCCTGTTAAGCGGGCGACTTTTGTCGGCATTTGCTGAGCAAGCCTCCTTCTGATGTGACTTGCATTTGAAGGAATAAAAACCAAGAATTCAAAATTGCGAAGTTGCTTTTGGTCTTCCTTCTAAAGCACAGGTGTCAAACTCCGGTCCTGGAGGGCCGCTGTCCTGCATGTTTTCCAAGATATTGGATGCACTTTGTCATCAAATCAGTCCGTTCAATCTGTCAAGCGGGTTGCCTGCAGGGATTTTGAAAGTCCAGCAGGTGTCACCGACACGTGATCCACACAGTGCATCATTGTGTCAACACGCTTCATGCCGCCTCATGGACCCATCACGAGAAAATTGTTGGGAGTTTTCCATGATCTTGTGGACGAGGACGAGCGGAGGCTGTCGAAGGTGAGAAAGAAGTCGTATTTGACGCCATGTTAATCACTTTTGGGGCCGAAAGTCAATACGCCCCCCCCCCCCACCAACCACCAATCACCACCTCTGAAACAAGGTTGACCGAACGATGAAAATGCGTCAGTGGAAGGGTTGTGTGTTATTGGGCGGGGGGGTTGATGTCCACACCAACCGGCAGAGGATAATTTGCCAAAAATTCTGAAAAAGCGCTTTATTGCAGGCGTTGTAGAAGCGCTGTAGGAATCAAGATGAATTGTATTGGACGACTTGGAACAGCGAAAGTCAATTCCTTTTGTGTTTTTTTGCATACTTGGCCAATACTCTAAATTTGATTCTGTTTCCGATCGTTTGCCAAACGCCTTTGTGTTTCCTGGACAATAGGGGGCGATATAGATTTAGGAGCTCTAATCCACCGGGAAGAAGAAGAACAACAAGCACAAGAACGGGAGCACATCCGGTCCAATGAGCAAGTATTTCCGCTGTCCACAAGCCGTGTTCTCAGTAAGTAATTTTAACATTTTAAACTAACTATTCGCCGTTTATCTGTTAGTGTATTTATGTAGACAATTGAGGAGCATAATTACGATACGTTGCTCCTCTAATTTGTCTGTTGTTACTCACGAAGTCACTGGAAGTTATCGTAAAAAACAACGTCAGCAAAGGGGGCAGTTAGTGAGCACGCCGCCGGCAAATAGACCTCAGCTGTCAATCAAAAGACAATCGAGAACAGCGTTTGACTTGAATGTTTCTTTTGTATGTTTTCCACACCAAAGCTGCCGTAACCAGTGGAAGTGTGATGGCTTCACATCTGGGGGCAGATTTGTCTCGAAACTATTCACACAAATGCATCTGTGACTTACTTTTTCACTTGTTTTTCGAAATATATTTGTGATTTTCACAAACTAAATACTAAATTTCAAAAAATGTTTTGATAATATCCACAAACATACTCGTCATTTTCACACGTGTGGCGTGTTTATTTATAATGACTTTGAGATCCCTTTTTCGTCCACTAAGAGGCAGTGTTGCTGTCTGAAATTAAAGGGTACGACCGACACCCCGTTTTTCGTTTCAAACTTGGAAATTGAAGAATGGAAAACGAGCCTTTAATAACCTGTTGATTTAACACAATAATTAATTATAATAAGTAATTTGTTTGCCTCGAGCTTGTTTCCCTTTGACACGAAGGCGTACTATTTCCTCCCGTTGGTCCGCTGCTGCGGCCCCGGAAAAGAAATAGGTTGCAGCAGAATGTGAAGGTCCTCCGTGTCAAGGCGAAACAAGCTCGAGGGAAACAAACTACAGCCGAATATTGTTTCCTGACTGAGGGAAAATCATCACGTAATAAAAGATCAGATAATGGCTTGTTTCCTGCTGTCCCATTTTCAATTTTAGAACGAAAAACGGGAGATTCCCTTTCCATTGAGAGAAGCAACACTGCCTCCTTGCGGACCGAGGAAGGAAGTGAATGTTGAGAACGACTGTGTGTGGGGAATAGCTTGGAAACAGTGTTTGTGTTTAAATGA